TAAGTTTTCCAAAACTCTAAATTTTACTTGAGAGCTTGAATTTTATCACTGGTAAAAATAATACTATCAATTATTTTCCTTGAAGTAACAAGTTCACTTTGTTCTTTCTCAAGAAAATAGCTGTCAAATACCCCAAATTTGTTCATTCCTTTTTTTTTTTTATCTTCACTCGGGGACATTTTTCCATTATTTGTTCAGAGTAAGAGGGAGGGAGAGAGAGAGAGAGGGAGAGAGAGAGAGAAACATAGATGTGAAAGGGACACATCAAGTGGCTGCCACCCACACAACCCAAGCAGGGCCGGGGACAAAACTGCAACCGAGGTACATGCCCTTAGCAGGAACCAAACCCGGGTCTCTCTGGACTGCAGGTCAATGCTCTAACCGCTGAGCCAAACCAGCAAGGGCTTGTTAATTCTTTCAAGTAAAAATGGCGTTCAATTAAAAAGGCAGCTAGGTCAGCCTAAAACTCAATCACACAAGTGCTTTTACCTGAAGACAATCATCATGTTTGCGGCAGAAATGCTTTAGGCACACTTCTTATTTTGTCACACAAAACAGTGAAAGGATGTTTGCTCAGGGTCTAAATTTAATAAAATTAATAATTTTTACTGCTTCCTCAAAGACACTCTTAAGTGAAACTGCCTTTTTGTTGTTTTTTTTAACTGCAAGCATGTGGCAATGAAGAATACAATGACTACTAGTACAATTTACCACTACCTTGATCACGATTAAGCACCAGCAATTTTTCACATCATTGCTTTTGCATTATTAGTGCAAATGTTAAAGCAATGAAAAAGTCAACTTATGTTTTGGCATTGTTATGAAAATTGTTTTTGACATATTAAAGTGTTCCGAAGACTTATGAGAGATCCCTGGACCAAATGCTGAGAAGATCTAACTTAAGAAATAACTCACTTGATAAATTTAAAAAAGAAAACTAATATACTTTTTTTTTTAATCCTCACCAGAGGACACTTTTCCATTTTTTGTTCAGACAGAGTGGGAAGGAGAGAGAGAGAGAGAGAGAGAGAAACATTGATGTGAAAGGGACACATCAAGTGGTCGCCACCCACACGACCCAACCAGGGCCGGGGACAAACTGCAACTGAGGTATGTGCCCTTAGCGGGAACCAAATCCGGGTCTCTCTGGAGCGCAGGCCGATGCTCCAGCTGCTGAGCCAAACCAGCCAGGGCAAAACTAATATACTTTTAAATAAATTGTCGTGACACCTGACAAAGCTTAAAATGCACCAAAAAGCCTCACTAAGACTAGGCAACCCAAGGTATTTTCCCAGTGACCATAAAGATTCTATGACTCGCCCTGACTGGTTTGGCTTAGCAGTTAGAGTGTCGGCACATGGACCAATGAGTTGCAGGTTCGATTCCGGTCCAGGGCATGTACCTCGGTTGTGGTTTGTCCCTGGCCCTGGTCAGGTAGTGCGGGCAACCAGTTGATGTGGCTCTGTCACATCAATGTTTCTTTCTCTCTCCCTCTCACTCTATCTGATAATAAGTAGAAAATATCCTCGGGTGAGGAATAAAAAATAATTTAAAAAAAAGGATTCTATGACTCTAAATGAGAAATGAAAAAAGAAACTGAACAGATAAGTAATACAGTATCATTTTATAACTAGGAGATCAAGATCATTTTGGGCTCTAGTCGGTTTGGCTTAGCAGTTACAGCATCAGCCCGCGGAACAGAGAGTCCCGGGTTTGGTTCCTACTAAGGGCACGTACCTTGGTTGCAGTATGTCCCTGGCCCCGGTTGGGGTCGTGTGGGTGGCAGCCACTTGATGTGTCTTTCTCACATCAATGTTTCTGTCTCTCTCTCTACCTCCTGCTCTATCTGAAGATGAATGCAAAAATGTCCTCTGGTGAGGATTAAAAAAAAAATAATAATGAAAGAAAGGACTACATCTTCTAAAAAAAAAAGATTATTTTGGTAGCCAGCCTCTAAGGTGGCCCCCAATGATGCCTACTTCCTGCGTAGTCCCATTCCATACACTAATCCAGAGTTGGCTTGGTCTATGTGATTGACAACATATGGCTGAAGTGATGATATATTACTTCTGAGATTAAGTCATAAAAGACTGCAGCTTCTGTCTTGGACTCTTGTTCTCCTGGATCACTTGCTCTAGGGAAAACAAGCTACCATGATGTAAGCAGCCTTACAGGAGGCAAAGAGCTGAAGGCTACAGCCAACAATCATCGAGGAAGTGAGTCCTGCTAACAACTGTGTGAGTGAGCATGGAAGCAGATCTCCCAGCCCTAGCTGAATCTTAAGAAGACTTCAACCCTAGTAGCTAGCCAGCGCAACCATAATCTCATGGGAGACTTCGAGTCAAAAATACAGTGATACCTCGGTTCTCGAACGCCTCGGATTTCGACCAAATCGGTATTCGACCAGGAGATTCGAGAAACTTTTGTCTTGGAATCCGAACAAATATTTGGAACTCGAACTTCCGAGATGAGCCGAGTTGAGCCGAATGGCGTTCATTCGGCCCAGCGCGCCTTGCTTGCGTCATCAGTGTGAGTGCAGAGAGAGAGTCACGCTTTGTGGAGAGAGTCACGCTTTACACTGAATTTAACCCTTAGACATACTGTACACTTTTATTTCTTGTTGAGACTTATGTTTTTCTACATATTATATACAAATTAGGCCAGTAAATAGGCATTTTCTGGGGCTTGGAACGAATTAATCCAGTTTCCATTATTTCCTATTGGGTTTCATTGCTTCGGTTCTCGAACAATTTGGTTCTCGACCGTCCTCCTGGAACGAATTATGTTCGAGAACCGAGGTATCACTGTACATGGGCTAGCCCTGGCCGGTTTGGCTCAGCGGTTAGAGCGTCGGCCTGTGGTCCAGAGAGACCCGGGTTCGGTTCCCGCTAAGGGCACGTACCTCGGTTGCAGTTTGTCCCCGACCCTGGTTGGGTCGTGAGGGTGGCAGCCACTCAATGTATCCCTTTCACGTCGAAATCTCTCTCTCTCTCTCTCTCTCTTTCTGTCTGTCCCTCCCACTCTGTCTGAACAAAAAATGGAAAAATGTCCTCAGGTGAGGATTAAAAAAAAAAAAAAATGCATGGGCTAAACCACTACCACATTCCTGACTCTTGGAAACTTGAGAAAAAAATTTAATGTTTTAAACTGCTAAGTTTGGGAATAATTTGTTACACAGCAGTATTAGTAATATAGTTCAGGATAACAAGAGATCTTGTACCTGGTAGAAAATAGAAAAGCAGAGGGGAGTCTACATAAAAAAATGGCTAACTATTTTAAGGGAATTTAGATTTTATGAATAGATTTTTCCTAATAAAGCTCCTAAACAAGAGATCTACGAACTTAAAATAATAAAATAACATATAGCTGGGGAAAAAGGGGGGCATCTGTAATACTTTCAACAACAAAAAAATTAAAAATTAATTAAAGCCACTTGCTAAAAATACACACACACACACACACACACACACACACACACATAGCTGAAAGATGAAAGCCCGCAAAAATTCTTCTGGAAGACAAACTTACCGTCGCCCTTGTACTCTGAAGGAGTTGCATTTCTGAATCAGCTAGCTACTTAATAGCAGTTACACGAATTACTCTGAACTGGTGCCATTTCTTCCCATTCAAAAGCTATTCTGAAAGCAGGCATGGCTTTCTCCTTCCTTGCGAATAAGTATGTCTTTCCTGCCATTTCTCCTTCAAAACAAACCTGACTTACCTAAACCAAAATTCTATTCTTGGAACTAGAATTATCTAAGCATTCTTTGCAAGAGCAAAAGTAGTTCCTTCCAAGGTCCTTAACTGAGTAAGAATCTGCACCTCACACACACTAGTTGTTTTTTGTTTTATCCTCACCTGAGGATATTTTTCGATATTTTGTTCAGATAGAGTGGGAGAGAGAGAGAGAGAAACATTGACGTGAAAGGGACACATCGAGTGGTTGCCACCCACACGACCCAACCAGAGCAGGGGACAAACTGCAACCAAGGTACACACCCTTAGCGGGAACCGAACCCAGGTCTCTCTGGACCATAGGCCGACGCTCTAACCACTGAGCTAAACCGGCCAGGGCACTAGTTGTTTTTTAACAGTGTATCTAAGTACTCAGCACACAACCAAGGGACAGAAAATCTTCATCACTAAACAAGAATTTATCCTCAGCCCCCTCCCCCACCATCCCATCCTTTTAGGGGGTGTTCTTTTTTTTTTCTTTTCTTACCGGTTTCCTTACTTTCCACCATCAAGGCAATGCTGAGCTGTTGTTCCTCAGTCCCCACCTCTGAATCTGCTTCCACATCCCTAGCCTTTCTTATGGGAGAACAAAAAGCCTTTTCTTACTGGTTTCTACCGCCACTTCTATGTTTCAAATAAAAATAAGTTCTACTACTTTGAAGCTACCCAGGCCATGACACAGTCAACAGTCCCAAATTCCTAGACACTCCATTAGCTTTTTTCCTGTGAAGAACGCTACCTGTGCAAGTCTTCTATCATTACTGCTTTTCTAACTAGCTGATTATCACAGCACCTCTGAAATTCTGTCTATTCAAAGGGAATGTTCCCTAAGCCTCTCTTTCTGCAATTGCATGAATAGTTCCAAGTCCCACTTCCCTAGGCCCCAGCTCTTCTCCTTGGTTTATTATAAATAAGGGTGACCAAAACAGTTACTTCTAGCCTTTCCATAGTGCTTCTAAATGGTGTGTAACAACCTCCAGTCTTCAGTGCCAACCCATTTCCTATGTACTGTGGCTCCTCCTGCCAGGGCCACAAGGAAGATCACCAAAATCACAAAAGCTGAGCACCTTCCATTGGTTCTTTCCAAGTCTTGGCTGAGAAAGGGTTGCCTGAAGAGATAGTATCTACATATACGTTCATGTGTTTGAATGTGCTCACTTGCTCCATCTCCACAGTTTTTCCTCCACCCCACACAAAAAGATAAGCATGATATCCTTATAGACCTCTAATTTTTGTTAAAAGAAAAAAGAAAACTAGAGCCTTACAGCCTCCTTGACCAGTTTTCTACTGGATTCCACCACTGCCTCTGTCAGTGTAAATTCCGTTTTAATCATCTCCAGCACATTGATAGCTGATTCCAGGGGTGTGAGCTCAGCCTCCATATCAAAGGAACAGTCTAGGACAAAGAGCACAGTTTTCACTGTAAACTATTTTCTGCATAGCAGAAAGGTTATGTCCAAAAATACATACATTTATGAACAAGAAACATGCAAATACAGTAAGATTTGCATTTAATTGCCGACTTACTGTAGGCTTACAAACACGTTAACGGTATCAAAATGACTTAATTTTCAAGACAGGTAAAAAGTTATTTTTCAGCACATGCATTTGCATCTCAAATTTCGGGGTACACACATCCTCTTCAGACATAAGCGGCCAGAAACTGTAGACTGTTTTGCTAAACAGCTGTCAGGTTCAATTCAGAAAATCAAAGTGTGCTCCTACTCTGAAAAAACACTCTACTATATGAGGGAAAAGATGTGGCCATCTTGACATAACTCACTTCAGAGAGCAGCAAAGTTGGGGCGAGCAAGAAACAGGTGGGAGGAAATTTTTTAAAAAACAAACAAACACAGAAAAGCAAAAGAATCTCAACTGGAGAAAACTAGAGCCAGAGCATACTCATTCTAGAAGGAAAACGACCACTGTGATTGAAACACAGTGTACCTCAATCCCGAATCCTTCAATTCCGGATGCATATTTGTAACACAGTAACTCTAAACCCGGAGGATAACACAAAAATGGTCATACCTAAATTTTCCCCTTCTTCAATGCGCGATAGACACTGCATCACCCGCAGTAGCCGGGACACGGTGTGCTCCTTCCCCAAGGGCCTGACAAGCAAAGCTGGGAAAGACATCGTTGGTTCGGCGATCCCCCCCAAGCCCCGACACCCGGGCCCCAGGGATCCCTTTCCCAGATGCCCCAGCCTCCTTCCCCGGGCCCGGCCCTCACCCTGCATGATGTCCCGGATCTGCCTGAAGTCCCCGTACCGGCTACTTCGAAAGGCCCGCAGCGCCTCGTAGAAGTAGAACTTGAGCACCCAGCGGTTCACAGCCTCCTCCAGCCGTGCCTCCCCCGCGCCCCGCTCCGCGGCGCCCCCCAGCCCCGGATCGTGACGCCCCCGTCGAGCCCGCCCGCTGCTGCGGGACGCCCGCCGACTTGCCGCCCGCCCGGTGCCGTCGTTGCTCCCGCCTCCTCCCGCCATCCCGTCCGTCCGCCGCGCACCCTCCCCACCCTCCCGACCGGACCGCTTCCTCGACTGTGACGCCGCCGGATCACGCACGACGTCCGGGCCGGAAGCGGGGCCCACCGTCCCGGCTCCCGCGGCCATGATACAGACAGCGTTCGAGAAGCCCGCGGGCTTCTGGGTGGGAAAGGACCTTAGGGCCCCGTCCCCCTCTCGGACCCCGTAGTTCTGGCATGCCAGTCGCAATGCCTGCCGGGGCTTGAAGTCCACAAAGCCCAAACGCATAAACCAACCGGTGTTTGCAGTCAAAGGTAACTGCTCGGAAATGATGGAACACTGTACTAAAGATGTCTACGTATAAAATATTAAAAAATAAACACGTGAAGCTTATTAAGCTCTTTTAAAATTTTGAAGTGTAACATACATGGAGGAAAGTTTATTTTTTTCTTTATTGATTTTTAGGAAGGGAGAGAGAGAGAGAAAGAAACATTGATGAGAGAGAAAATCGATTGGCTGCCTCCTGCATGCCCCTCACTGGGGATCTAGAACAATTAGAAAAAAAATAAAAGGTTGACATTTAAATCACTCATAATCCCACATGAAAAAAAATGTCGAGCCCCTGGCTGGTTTGGCTCTGCGGTTAGAGCCGCGGCCGGTGGACCAGAGTCACAGGTTTGATTCCGGTCAAGGGCATGTACCACAGTTGGGATTTGGCCCTGGCCCTGGTTGGGGTAGTGGGGAGGTAGCCACTCAAGGTGTCCCTTTCAGGTCAATGTTTCTCTCTCTCTTCCTCCCACTCTATCTGAAGATGAATGCAGGGATGTCTTCAAGTGAGGATAAAAAATAATAATAATAAAATAAAAAATAAAGTGTACTACATATTTTATATAACCTTCATTTTTTTATTTAACATGTAATGAATATCTTTCCATGCCATTAAATAAATTTCTATGTCTTTAGTAGCTACATAGCATTCCAATATATGGATGAACCAAAATTTTCTTTATCTAAACTCTGCTGTAAGATGTTTAGGTTTTTCAAAATTTTGTAATTCTAGACAACCTTTGTATTAGAAAAACTGTAATGTTGCCCAAATTTATAATTATTTCCGTAGGATAATTTCCTTAAAGTTGAATTACTGAGTCTAAGAATACTCAATAGAGCACAAATCAGAACATTTTACTTATCACTCATCAACCTTTTGCTGTTGACCCAGGTGCAGACATCTTTAAAGCCTGAAGTGGTCTCCTGTTTGCCAGCCTCATTTTGGGCTCATGCCTGCACTTCTCTCAGTTCCTTTTCACCTGCTACTCAATCTACGTGGAGCCTTTATCTTGGCCATGCTAGCCTAATTAAGTTCTTCTTGTCCTTCAAGCCTCATTTTGCTGCTCCTCCATAGCACCTCATAGTATTTCATTCTGGGTTCTCTGTTCTGTTCCATTGATCTATCTGCCTGTTCTTGTGCCAGTACCAGGCTGTTTTGATTACAATGGCTTTGTAGTATAACCTGATATCTGGTATTGTGATCCCTCCTACTTTGTTCTTCTTTTTCAAGATTGCTGTGGCTAGCCAGGGTCTTTTTTGGTTCCATATAAACTTTTGGAGTATTTGGCCTAGTTCTGTGAAATATGTCGTTGGTATTTTGATGGGGATTGCATTGAATCTACAGATTGCTTTGGGTATTATGACATTTTAATGATGTTAATTTTTCCAATCCATGAACAAGGTATATGCTTCCACTTTTTTATATCTTTCTCTATTTCTTTTTTCAATGACCTTTAGTTTTCTGTGAAGAGGTCCTTTACTTCTTTGGTTAAGTTTATTCCTAGGCATCTTAATTTATTTGGTGCTATGGTAAATGGGATTGTTTTTTAGTTTCTCTTTCTGTGAGTTCATCATTGGTGTATAAGAATGCCATCGATTTCTTGACATTAATTTTGTATCCTGCTACTTTGCCAAATTCATTTATTAACTCTAATTGGAGAGGACTTTTCAAAATATCATGGTCCCTCTTGCCTTTTCCAGGTATTTTTCTTGTCCAATCCCAGTTCTACATCTACTTCCACTCCCCATCTTGCTAGATACGTTCCTGAAACTTACTTTCTTTTTTTGAATTTCTGTGATGGGTATGCCACACTGACCTTAAAGAGTCCATTCCCCACTCCTTCTGTGGGTACATCATTGTCCTTATCTTTCAGATGTGGGGAGTAAGCTAGGGGCATTTCCAGAGGACTGAGTGGGTATAGGAAGGCAATGGGGACATAGGATGTGAGTCACCTACAGGTGTCTCTTATGGTCTTAGAATTCATCACCTAGTACCTGGACCAAAGAGAGAAATCCCAGTTCTGGTGGGTGATGCCGCTCCCTGAGAGGCCCAGTGACTGGTTTAGCTTCAAAGGCTGTTTTGCCAGCCCTACTGGACTAGGGACCAGGAAAGATCCAGTTGGAGCCACTAAAGGACAACTCAAAGAGCAAGTGGAAGCATCACTGAAGATGTAAAATCACATGCTGGACCCCTGAATTAATTAGACATGGACCTTAATATGTACAGTATCTTGGTCTCACAAAATCTCCATGAGGTGCACATCCCAGAACAAGGAAAGAGGCCTGTCAGTCTGACAGATCTTTGGTGCATGTGGCTGCTTTTCAATCCCAGTCTGCCTGCCTTAACAAGGAGCTGAATTACCTGCCTCAAATCCTGACTCTTCCATTTGCTAGCTGTGTAACCTTGAGCAAGTTACATAATCATCTCTGTGCTTCTGTTTCCTCAGCTGTCAAGCACAAATAATAGAGGTGGGGATTGTTTGAAAATTAAATGAATTACTATTTCCAGTGCCCTTAGTACAGGTCTTGGTTTATTGTAAGGACTCAATAAGTGTAAGCTATTTTTATTAACTCACCCAGTGTCTTGCCTGAAAAGTCTTCTCTGTAAAAATTCTCCTAATTTTTTTTTTTTTTTTAAACTTAAGTCATAACTTACATAAAGTGCATAAATATAAAGTGTAAAGCTTGATAAGTTTTCTCCCCATTTTTCAGTCAAATCATCATATGGTTGTCCCAACATCACTCTCTTCCATACTCAGGACAAACAGCCAACTCACTAAGGAATCTATTTTGAGAAACTTCAGTGCTTCATGCTTTCTCCCTGGGCACCAGCAGGAGGCAGTGTGGTATAGGGGAAAAGCCACAGTCAGCATGTTAAGGACCATTATCCTGGCCCAACAGCTTAGTGGCTTGAGGGACCACTTTGTAAATTACATGATTGTCCAATCACTGGGATGCCTGGGAAACACTGTTGTAACATCTGTGGGCTGGAGAACAGCAACAGGGGATGAAGCCCAGAGTGGACGGGAGGTTCCTCAGGCCTTTCCATTCAGCATATGGAACATTTGTGTCACACACACACATGGCTGGTCTCTTTCAAATCCCCCATGTGAAAGTTCTCTGTGATCAACAGTGAGAGTTTCAGACATTTGATAAAGGAGGGCTTTGAGGTGGGAGCAGGAGATAACCTAGTTGGAAGGGTATTGAGGGCATTGTCTTGAAGCCAAGTGCACCAGGCATTGGATGTTAGCTTGAGAAAATGTTAGTTGTAGCAAAGAATGGAGGAAGAGACTACTGGAAATAATGGGAGGTTTAAACTCAAAGACAAGCTATTCATTGGCTTCACCAGTTCAAATCTGGTTCTCTTATCCATGCAGGTCAGAGACTCAAAAATGGTTTTGTCTTCCATGGGCATTTGATCTACATTTATTGAGGTCCTACTTTGTGAGTTGAAGCTCTGTAGGTCCTAGTGGCACAAATACAGATGAAATGCGAATCTTGCCTTCAAAGAGTTTAAGGTCAAGATGGGGGATCAACATGAAAAAGTAAAGACATTATATTTCAATTTTGAGCAATGGTTATGTATTACTTTTATAGCCCTTCTCTTTAACCTTGCAAATAAATACCCCTAAAATGATCTTTTCAAGCCAGAGTGATAAGGAATACATTAGGATTACATGGACAGTTGACAGAAGCTAGGTTGGGAGTCAGACGTATCTGGATTAGAATTCCATCTCTCCAGCATTCTAAACTGGAGGTATTCAAACTGGAATTACACATATCTGTGGGCATTGAGCCTTTTTTTTTTTTCCCCTTTTCAATCCTCATCCGAGGACATGTTCATTGATTGGAGAGAGAGAGAGAGAGAAACATCGATGTAAGAGAGAAACATTGATTGGTTGCCTCCCGCACACGTCCCGACTGGGGATCGAACCCACACCCTAGGTATGTGCCCTGACCAGGATCAAACCCTCGACCCTTTGGTGTACAGATGACACTCCAACCAACTGAGTCACATTGCAAGGATGGCATGAAACCTTTTTAAGGGGAAATCAATTTTCATGTGTTATTCTTAAAACAAATCTACCTGAGAACACACCAACAACAGAAATCCTGCCAGTTTCCATGTTCCCATCATCTTTATCCCACTTTGCTTAAGATGAGGCAGACCAGCCCTGGCTGGTTTGGCTCAGCGGTTAGAGCATCGGCCTGTGGTTCAGAGAGACCGGGTTCGGTTCTCGCGAAGGTCATGTACCTCGGTTGCAGTTTGTCCCTGACCCTGGTTGGGTCATGTGGGTGGCAACCACTCAATGTGTCTCTTTCACGTCGATGTTTCTCTCTTTCTCTCTCTCTTTTCCTCCCACTCTATCTGAACAAAAAATGGAAAAATGTCCTCAGGTGAGGATAAAAAAAAAAAGATGAGGCAGACCATCTGAATCTTACTGTGGTATACAGTATATGTATATTATGCTGGGAGAGACCAAGTTTGGATGCAAATAAAGGCATAATTCAAAAAGACTAATTAAAGTCCCATTAACTACTTCCTCATTTATTTCAGTAAAAGATGATTTTTCTTTTTTTTTTTTATCCTCACCTGAGGACATTTTTCCATTTTTTGTTCAGACAGAGTGGGAGGGAGAGAGAGGAAGAGAGAGAGAGAGAAACATCGATGTGAAAGGGACACATCGAGTGGCTGCCACCCACACGACCCAACCAGGGCCGAGGACAAACTGCAACTGAGGTATGTGCCCTTAGCGGGAACAGAACCCGGGCCTCTCTGGCCTGCAGGCCGATGCTCAACCACTGAGCCAAAGAAAGAA